CACTGATCCTTGAGTCTGTTTCTTTGCCAGTACCATGCTGTTTTTATCACAGTAGCTTTGTAGTATAGTTTCAAGTTGGGGATTGTGATACCCCTACTTTGTCTTTGTTGCCTTGTCTTTTTGCTTTTGCTATTCTAGGTCTCTTCTTGTTCCAAATGAATTTTTGGATTTTTTTTTCAAGATCTGTGAAGTATGCTGCTGGAATTTCAATTGGGATTGCATTGAACCTATATAGCAGTTTTGGAAGTATGGCCATTTTCATTATATTGGTTCTTCCTACCCAGGAGCAAGGAATGTCTTTCCATTTTCTGATGTCCTCTTTGATCTCTTTGTTGAGTGGTGTATTTTTCAGAGTAGATGTCATTGATTTCTTTCCTAAGGTTGATTCCTAGGTATTTTATCTTTTTGGATGATATTGTGAAATGAGTTGTTTCTCCAGTTCCTGTTTCAGTGAGTCTGTTGTTCATGTACAGGAAAGCTACTTATTTTTTGTGTGTTGACTTTGTATCCAGCTACTCTACCGAATTTGGTCATTAAGTCTAGAGAACTTTTGGTAGAGTTCTTGGGGTCTTCTATATAGAGTATCATGTCATCTGGAAATAGTGACAATTTAACTTCTTCCTTTCCTATCTTTTTTCATTTTATTTCTTTCTGTTTTCTAATTGCTGTGGCTAATGTTTCCAAAACTGTATTGAACAGGAGTGGCGATAGTGGACATCCTTGTCATGTTCCTGATTTTGACATGAAGGATTTCAGTTTTTGACCATTTAGTGTGATACTGGGTATTGGTTTTTCATAGATGGCTTTTATCAGGTTGAGATAAAGACTGTCTATTCTAATTTTCTGTAGGGTTTTTTTTTTCATGAATGGGTGTTGGATTTTGTCAAATGCTTTTTCTGCATCTATTGAGATTGATCATATGGTTTTTGTTCTTGGCTCTATTAATATAGTATATTACATTTATTGATTTGCATATGTTGAACCATCCCTGCAGCCCTGGGATGAATCCCACTTGGTCAGGGTGTATGATCTTGATAATCTTCTGCATTTTGTGTGCCAGTATCTTATTGAGGATTTTTGCATCTATGTTCATTAGGGAGATTGGCCTATAGTTGTCTTTTTTGGTTGGATCTTTCTCTGCTTTGGGGATCAAGGTGATGCTTGCTTCCAGAAATAAATTTGGGAGTATTTCTTCCCTTTTCCATTTTATTGAAGAGTTTAAACAGTAGTGGCAATAGTGCTTCTCTAAATGTCTTGCAGAATTGAGCAGTGAATCTATCACTACCTGGGATTTTCTTGATAAGTTTTTAATTATGTTTTCAATTTTGTTGATTGATACTGGGTTGTTTAGAATTTTCAGGTCTTCTGTGTTCAACTTTGGCAACTCATATGTATCTAGAAATCTGTCCATTTCTTTGGTTTTTTATTTTATTGGTTTATAGGTTTGAAAAGTAGGAATTGATGATCCTCTAGATTTCTGCTGGGTCCGTTGTAATTTTACATTTTTCATTCCTAATTGCATGTATTTGGGCCATTTCTTTCCTTTTTTTGATAAGGTTGGCTAAGGGTTAGTCAATTTTGTTTATTGTTTTGAAGAACCAACTCTTTGCTTATTTCTTTTTTGTTTCATTCTCATTGTCTCCACTGCATTGATTTCTGCTCTGATCTTTATAATGTCCTCCTTTGCATGAGCTTTGGTTTTCTCTTGCTCTTCTTTTTCTTGAAGCTTGAGGTTCAGCATCAGGTTGTTTATTTGAGCTTGCTCTGTTTTTCTAATATGAATATTCACTGCTATGTATTTCCTTCATAAGACTGCTGTCATTGTGTCCCATAAATTCTGATATGTTGTATTGGGATTGTCATGTAATTGTAGAAACTGTCTGATTTCTTCTTTTGTTTCCTCTGTGACCCATTGGTTATTCAGAAGTGTGCTGTTTATTTTCCATGGCTTTATGAAATTCTTGTGGTTTTTATTGCTATTGATCTCCAATTTAGTGGCATTATGGTCTGATAATATACAGGGGATAACTTCACTTCCTTTGCACTTACTTAAACAAATTCTATGAACAAGTATGTGGTCTATTTTGAAGAATAACCCATGTGCAGCTGAAAAGAATGCGTATTCTGATGTTGTGGGGTGGAACACTCTGCAGACATCTGTTAAGTCCACTTATTTAAGAGTTTGGTTGAGTTCTAGTATTTTGTTGTTTACTTTCTGTCTAGTTGATCTGTCTATTTGTGACAGTAGGGTATTGAGGTTCCCCACTGCTATTATACTGGTCCTTATTTGATTTTTTATGTCCCTTTAGTATTTGTTTTATATAGTCGGGCATGGTAGTATTTGGTGCATATATATTTATGATTGTCATCTCTTCCTCTTGAATTGTTCCCTTTACAAGGATGTAGTGGCCTTCTTTTTCTCTCTTAGTGTTGGTTTGAAATCCATTTGATGGGCAAATAGGATAGCTACTCCTGCTTTTTTTTCAGGTACCTGTCACATGGAGTATTGTTTTCCACCCTTTAACTTTCAGTCTGTGAGTTTCTTTTTGAATTAAGTGTGTTTCTTGTATGCAGCATATTGTTGGATCTTAGTTCTTAATCCATTCTATGAGTCTTATTTGTTCTGATTGGTGAATTGAGACCATTAACATTGATGGTCATAACTGATATGTATTGACTTATCCTTGTCATGAGCTTTTCCTGTTGTTGAATTCTTTCCCTTTGCATTTAATTTCTTGTCAGGCCTGATGGATTCATTCTGCTGTGCTTCTTGGGGTTGTAATCCTCATTGTGTTTTCCTAGGATGTTGTTCAAAATTTTTTGAAGTGCTGGTTTGGTATTCATGAAGTTCCTCAGGTGCTCTTTTCATGAAAGTATCTTATTTCTCCATCCATTTTGAAAGATAGTTTTGCAGCGTACATCAATCTGAGTTGGAGGTTGTTTTCTTTTAGGGCTTGAAATACTTCACTCCAGGCTCTTCTTGTCTTGAGGGTTTGTGTTGAAAAGTCTGCTGTGATTCTGATGGGGTTTCCTTTGTATGTGATTTGTTTCTTTTCTCTAACTACTTTTAGAATTTTGTTCTTC